TTTTTTTTGTTCTTTTTCTTCCTATAAAATTTTTTAATTTTTTTTTTTTCGTTTTCTTTCCCTTTCTTCTTTCTTTTCAAACCACAAAAGAGGAAAAAGGGGGAAACCCCCCTCCCCGAAAACCCAAACCCCTTCCTGCGGGATTATTTTTCCCCCCCCCCCCCGCCCCCCCCCATAACCCTCCTTTCCAAACCCGCCCCCGGGGAGGAGGCTTTTTTTTACCCTCCCCTCTTGAAAAACTCCCACAGGGTTTTCCCCCCCCCCCCCACCCCCGCCCCGGCCCAAAAGCCCCCCCTGAAGTTTTTGAAAAAGATAACGGGGGGGGGGGGGGGGGGTAGGGGCGGGGTGTACTCGCGTTTTTTTTCTTTTCTTTGTAGTGTTGCAGAACAAGTTAATCTCTTGACTATCCAATGATGAGAGTCTACAATACATTATAAATTAGCCCATGGTATCTTGCAAGCCCTAGTTGTGACCGCGCGTCCTCGAGAGGACGGAGCATACAGGAGGGGGGTACGTGGTGTTCAGCCTTGCGTAGGGGGGGTAAGGGGGCGGGAGTACGATGTACCGGGACCCCCGTCTCGACGGCCCGCTGCTTGGACACTGGCTTTGCACCATGATGATGGTGAAAAAAATATTTATACGAAGTACATATTGTCCTCCCCTGCCGCCGCTGCCAAACCTGCCGCTGTTTTTTTTTTGCGCACGCTTGGGACTGCTGTTGTGGTCGTCTTCGTCGTCGTCGCTGTCTGGATAAAACACCCCCAAAATCGGTTTCGTGTTTGTGATGGAACAGGCGCCATTCGACAAGGTTGAGCCCCTCGTGTACAAGTACAGCGCTTCTCTCATGGCGGCCGACCCGGCGGGGACGATCGGAACCTGGTGTGTACTCGCATTCATTTATTTTGGTTGGTTCTACTATCGGAACCTGGTGCGTACTGATACTGTACTTTCAGTTTTTGTCGTTTGGTTGGTTCTACTGTAGTGCTAGTGTGGTTTCATGTATGTGTTGGTGGCATTGGCGTTTGGGATGATCTTGATGATGATTGCATGGCTGGTGTGTGCTGTGGAGCGTGTCGTTCGTGCTCTCTGGTACTGTTTTTTTTTTTTTGTCGCTCTCGTTTTTGTGAGCACCGTTGTTGTTGCTAGGAGTGCCTTACCGGATGGTGTGTGCCCATTATGGGCCAATTTTCAAAGCTCGATTGCCCCACTACGAAAAGAGGGTGCCAAAGCCGAACCGTCGGTGTGTGTCCAGCCGGAAAGCTTCTCGATGAGATGTCACAGATCGTGCTAACGCCGCCCCATTTCGGCACCTGCACCTACTCTGCCGTGGAGCAATCGATCTTATCATTCGCCCCCCCCCAAGCGGGGTTGAACTACACACCACACAACAATCCAGCACGGCCTGTCTATCAGACGCCACGCTATCCCCTCTTCGAGACACCCGCTCGCCGCCCTCCCCCGGAGGTCGTGCGTGTTTACTCGGTCCCCGGCCGTTTTTTGTTTTTTGGCGTGCATGTTGCCGTCGCTCCGCTCCGTGGGTGGGTGGACGGGTGGATGGGTGGGTGCAGGATGTCCAAGCCCCAGCTGAAGCCCACCAAACTCATCCCCGCGTTGGTTCGCTACAGCCAGCGGCGCAAGGCGGCGATGGAGAGGCTGTCCGCGTCCCCCCCCGCAGCGGTTTCGGTTTCTCCGACGGCGGCGGCGGAGGGAAATGCCTCCTTGGCGGCGGCGGGGGAAGGGGAGGACTTGGCCATCAAGTACCTCGAGTTCTGCGTCAACGACCTCAATCTCAAGGTGTGGCCAAGTGCTCTTGTTGTTGTTGTTGTTGTTGTTGTTGTTGATGATGATGATGGTGGTGGTGGTGGTGGTGGTGGTGGTGGTAGTGTTTCACTTAAGCTGTGAGGGTCGCGCGGAAGTCTAACCCCTCATTCCCGAGCTAGCCACCAGAAGAAACTCATGGAAAACGAAAAAATAAATCGCGCTGTGGGATAGGTATCTATTTGCCTGTGATGGCATCTCAGGTGTCATCGTCATCGTCAACAAGCCTGAAAGCGTTGGAAAGGTAACGTTGCGGTAGCAGTGAGGGGAGCAGGTATCCAAACAGCGAGTCTTGATATTACACACCCCTTTTGTAGACAGACCTCGCCCCCCTCTCTTCCTCCCCCCCCCCCCCCCGCAAACATCTCCATTTCTATTTATTGTTTTTAAAACTGGCGGGACCCATTCCCGAGGGGGTTTTTTTTTGACGTTTTTGTTGCAAAAAAAGCTGCGGATACCGCCCTCCTCGACCCCCCCCCCCCCCCCCTTTT